TTTACCATGTATATATACATATATGCATATAGAAGTTGTACGTGGCATCTACGACGACATTTCTATACTATCGATGAATCGTTAGGCTGCGGATTTTTCTGTGAAATAAAACATTTAAAAAATGAAATCTAGATCGAGATTCCTTCTGGGCTTCATAAATCTTGATTTCCTGAACGTATAATGTAAGTACAGTAAGTGAAGTACGCGTTATCATTTTATACTATACTAGAATACTATACGTATGTACATGGTACATGCTCCGTGCTATGTAATAAAATAATTTACAAAAATTCAAACTTCAAACAAAATGGTTCGGCAGATAAGGAGGCGAATGAATAATTTAAAGAATATAATCAGCACTGCATGTTAAACCAAATGACTGTCCTAATCAGGTTGAAACAACGTTAAACGGAAACTTGTTTAATGTTTTGTAAGCTATAAACTTTGTAGAATGTTCAAAATATCGCAGACTTTATTCCTCAAATACAACTTGTACGCTGTTGCACGTTCGGACGCTCGCAAAGAACTATGCCTGCTTTAACTCGTCGCTTTCCCAACGTCCTTTTTAAGGGGTTGAAAATACGTTGTGGCCTTATCGGCCTCGGTCATCTGGTTTCTATCAGGCAGGCCTCTTCCTACGCGGTTGAACTCTCGACTTCGTTTACAGTTTTGACGATCATGTGGTATATCATAACTCGTAAGATGTGCAAAATTTAAACAAATGGTTTGAACTTAAAGCGTCCCTTCTCCCCGTCGACACGTAACAACAGACACAGAGACAGGGACAGAAATAGGAACTAGGAAGAGGAAGCCGGCAAGCATATATATATCTACGGCTACATATATATGTAGGCGAGAACGTTACAAGTATAACGCGTCTACTTCCGATTTTCCGGACAATGGAATTTATAAAATGGAGATCGAGGTACGGAGAAGTGCGAATGAGTAGGACGGACGGACGTATGTTCGACGTACGTTTGGTGCCACGGAGAAGACAAACCCTCGACGACGAGGCCGATACAGCGCAGCTACAGTACAATCAATGAGCGCATATTGATCTCGACCCTTCACAGATTCTACGCACCTGCAGGGGCGGACCACTCTCGAGCATCGAACGTATACATATGTAGATAACGTTGCTCGGTTAAGATAAGAACAATCTATTCAAATGCGTATTGCGTACATGTACTACATGACATACATGCATCATACATATATTGTACTTGTTGAAAATTATCTTTCTCTCGAATTCATCACATAGTATACACATACTAAACGCAGAGATACTTTTGTTTTTTCGATTAACATAAATAATAATATCGATATCGATGTCTCGTGGAGAGGCAATTTCAGTGTACGCGATCAGCAAACGCGAAAGAGGAGCGGCGCCTCGATTTGTACGTAAAATTGTTAATTACTTACTTAGGAAAAATTATGCCGTATATTCTATATTGCGTAAAATATGGCTGTTGCAGGCCTAAGGCATCGTAAAGAATTTCCTACATATACGCTAACACGAGCGCCGGAAGTTTGCGAAATGATTGCGGTAACGGATGTAAACTATAATCGTAAAATTCATCCATCGTTCACGGAAAATAGGAAATAAGAGATAGAGAGCTGTGACAAATTTTAGGTTCGTCGGATCGTATAACCCACAAAGCCTTATATAGCGTTTGAGCAGAAAAGCGGGAAAACGGTGTGTCGTGCATACGCGAACCACGAAAATTTTGTCCGGGCAACACGAAGTAAAACGCGAATGAATCGAAGACGAGATATCGCCGCGAGATTGCCGGGAAGACAGTCAGATGGCGGGTCGGTCGGTATCGCGGAAGCGAACAAAAGAACGGGATTGGTCGCTTCGAAAGTAGTGGCAGACATGTGTTTCGTTTCCCGCCTCGTCGTGGGTTGTTATTGTGTGGGGGCCCCGCCAGTCCGGTGAGTCCGGTGAGTGAGGAGTCGTCGAGTGTAGAGAGCATAGGGCCTAGACCAGAATCGAACCGCCGTTGGGTTGGCTCCTCGGTACGGTGGTGGCTCTGTCCGACGACTGGTGGTGTGACCGACCGTGGTCCGTCCGTCACATATTCCCGGTTTGAAAGCAAGGTTGCGACTAGTTGTTGCGACGCAGGAAGGTGTAGTGATCTGTGTACGGAGTTACAAACGGGTCTGCCGGCCATGGAGAAGCGGATAGCACTCGAAAAACGGGGAAGAAACTCCGGCGAAGTAAGCACGAATCCCGCATCTTTATTTTATCGCACCGCTTTTGCTCGGGAGACACGGGACGATTGCCACCGCGGGTTGTTGTGCGTGTTCGCTTGCTTGTTTCTCTATCGTCGTCGTCGTCGTCGTCGTTCTCGTGCTGTACAGGTTTCTCATGCGCGCGGGTAGTAGAGAGAATCGCGCTCGAGTTCCCTCGCGGCGCCTAGCCGATACCACGCAACGCACTCGTTCCGCGGCACGCCACTGGCTCCTCGAAGACGCACGAGAACTCGGATTTCTCGACGGTGACCGCGTGGCTCCGACGCGATTTATTGGACAAGCTAGACGTGTTCTCGATGCCGACACGAGTTGCTTGCCGAAGCCTGCTGCTGCCGCTGGACGAGAGAGTGGAACAGGCATGGCGTGGCTCTCTACGCGATTTTCCATTTCACGATTATCCCGACGCCGTGTTTCCTTCTGTCGCTTTCCACGCCGCGAGATTGACCATTTTAATCGGGATCTCGTGCGCCTCCTTTCTAGAAATCGCGGCCGCGAACATTCGAAGAAACCGGGGAACGGTTTCGAAACGATGCTCCCGGAATCAATCGTAAATCGAAAAAACTTGTTCGTTCGTTCGTCCGAGCGAATTTAACGTACAGTTGATCGCGACCGATAGTTTATCAACGTTTTCCAATACGCGAAGTCTCCCACGGAATTGTCGAGCTTTCGAGACCGAGTCTCCCTTATCGTATCGCGCAGATACGTTATTGGTAATAAGTACATTCATAGAGAAAAAGCACCGCGTGCAATCCGTTGTTAAACGCTCGATTTCGACTAGATCCAAATTTTATTCACTGTGAAACGTATGGTACTATCATTGTATTATATGTTACATCTCGCCGATACGTGATGTAATACACGTCGGTGGGGAATCAGTGTCGTTGGCATAGAAAGTAAAATGTGTTTAATCAATCGCCAGATATTGCCCCTTATAATGGCTGATTTTTTCGTGATGATAAGTGTTTAATTTACCTGGCTCCAGGTTTCGAAGAAACTAGTGTACGTTGTTCATACGCAGAAAGTTCCCAACGCGTACTCTGCTTTATTGTTTTCATCATCGTGCAATTTACCCTCTCGGTTTACCGTCGATAACCCGTCTACATCTTTGAGAAATACACCAAACGCGAGATATCCTGTGAAATAAACTATTTATTTTTTAAAATGCACCAAATAAAATTTTTGTTTATTGTTTACATTCGTTAAAAAACTAGCAGTTCTTCGTTGTGTTTTCTATACCTAATGACGTTATATTTTTTCGGTTAAAAAATCGTGTCATTGAGAATAAACAAAATATTTTATGAAACATTTCGTTTCGGAAAATTAATTTCAAAAGTGGACGAAGCTAAAAAAATTTTCGTGAATAATTGATTTATTATTATTATTGTTTGAAAAGGTCGTCATCGTACGCGAGTCGTGTGATCAAATTATAGCGTGGCGTGGCTGTCTCTAGGAGGCCTTCTCTTTAAACAACGTGCACCGTATGTGCGTACCAATTAACACAGGGCTCTGGCTATATCCCGAGCAGATCCGCTGTAAAATGAGTTTCGAGAACGATTAGTTTCGATCCGTTCAATTCATGGTGTTCGTAATTCGTTGATCTTCGATACAACGCAATAACCAAGTAGTAGGTACGTGCATATAAAAAGGCTTTGACAAGATGGTGCCCCTTTCGAGCGAGTTTCGAAACATATGCATCCACTGACAACAAATCACAATTCACACGCAACAACTGCCGTCTCGGGCATCGAGTATTATGTCAGAATTTGACTAGTCCTTTGACCGGGCTTTTTCGCACTCCAAATATTTCGAGCATGTACGTAGTGCTATATGTACTACGTTAAATTCATCCAAGGTCACAAGAGGAAGTTGAACTTGAAAAGAATTCGTATTTATTCGGTATCATATTTCTTTCGACGACTTACGTCGTTGATTGCACGTTCGTTATCTGCTGTTCAAGATCAGATTTTCGATCGTTCGATAGAAGATTTGAAAATTGAAATTACTAAACGGGAAAGCGTGAGTCTATTAATAACCGCGCGTAAAACGCGAAAAAGACAATTGATTAGGTCGAATCGTAGGACGTGTTTCATGCCACAATTCATTAACGATAAACCTTTTTTTACGCCGTTTACCTGCACGTAGTAAATATAATTGTTCTTGTGCGTGATTGGCTCGACTCGACGACGAACATTCATCTCATTAGAGACCGCGTCGCGTTTACTACGGCTGTGTAATCCGTTCTTTTTTCCCGGCTAAAATGTATTATGTAAATGGAGAAATTATCAGCGGGAAGAATTGTGCGTGCCATGAGGTGCTGCCATGAGATACGCGTGCAAGTGGACGTCGCCATTGTCTTTCGGCGCGCGCCTGTGTCTTGTTCACAGAGAGACAGAGATACATGTATCGACCAGCAGATATTTCTAGACCATCGTTTTAGAATGCCTCAGAACGGCGGTTTAAACTCCTTCTCAGTCCCGGTTTCGATGTATATCGTAAGAACGATGCCGAGAATCGTTCGGAGAAAGCATTTTCGTGTGTCTAGTCCGCGATCGTGTCTTATGGCGTCTTACTGACTGATCACTGCGCAGCCATCTTGGACGAGTCCACTCTGTCACCGACCGCGCGACACGTCTCTGCGTAATAAAAGCATCGAAATATGTAAACCGTTTATTCACGTTTTTACCTCGCGTTACGAATTTTATTGACGTTCGATTACGCAATACTCGGCACCGTCGTCGTCGTCGTCGTCGTCGTCGTCGTCTACATTCTTTCTCGACGTACGTAGTCAGTGATACAGTTATATGTGTATATATGTATGTACGCGTGGGCGTTTGCATCACGTTAACCACACTACCGACGACGTTGCGATGCAGTTTGCCAACCAGTGCCGTAGCTATCGCCTCGTGAACCGTTGAATAAATTAGGATCGCAAATTTAAACGACGAATCACTTTCCGCCTGAACGAAATCCATACCATTTATCGTCGTTATTCTTCGACAGTAAAAAAGTGAAAATATTTTTTGGTATATGAATATAAGAGCCTACGTTAAAAATTAAACTTTATTAAAACGATTCAGCGGAGGCGCAAAAATGACCATGTGTCCTAGTCAGGAGTTGACTAAAAAGTGTCTCTCCAACAGCCCTTCGTCCTCGTCGAGACCGCGAAGATCATATATCCCGTTATCGGTTTTTAAACAAACAGTTCGGGGCCCGAACGCCTAGGCATCCGGTCTCCATGATCTCGCGCCTTCCTAATTACGAGTCTACGTTCCATTCCTCTTACATTCGGCCTCCCTGTATTTATGTTTGTCCTCAAGCACGAACCCCGAATTGCCTAGCTCTTCTTGTTTTGCTGTAACAAATCGATCGAAAAGTACATCTGAGTAACAAGTCCAATGATTTACTTGACTCAACCAACATTGAACAACTTCCTGATAACAGTAGTAAGAATTCTTATCCTCTGTCGATACTTCCCTTGCTCTGCTTATCAACATTCGCCAAATTAACGCGTATCGCTTTTAATTTTTAGCAGCGCATGTCTCGAACGTTGATTGCTGAGATTACCAGGTTCGACGTCATCCAACATCAGAGACGTGACATTGTTCGACGTCTTCAAGCTCCGGTGTACGTCTTTGTTGATTTTAGTTTTCTTCGTTATATAGTAGCCAACAACTAACTGATGGGAATTCGGTAGCATCATGTAACAGCGGTTCATCACTGTTACCATGATATAGAGTTTGTTATTGTCCAATAGATCGCACAGTATTGGTCTGATATCTTCAACGTCTAATAGATCAAATATTAGTCTGACAATTAAATGATCATGGTAGTGGTCAACAACCGTCGTTTTCGCATTTGTTAAAGAATAATGGCCCACAACCAATTATTCTCTTCATAGTCCAATAGATCACATACTATGGACACAGTATCTTCAGCGTCCAATAGATTGCACACTATTGATCCGATATCTTCGTCGTCTGATAGATCGCATACTATCAGTCCGTCGACTAAATAATCGTGATAGTGTTCAAATACCAACTATCGTTTTCGTATTCGCTAAAGAATAATGGCCAACCACCAACTATTCCTTTCATCGTCCAATAGATCGCACACTATGGACCCAATATTTTTTAATAGTCTAATAGATCAAACACTATTAGCCTAACGTTACTTTTCATTCGACCGTGCTCTCTTTACCTTTCGTTATTAAGAAACGATTGCTCGATTATAGCGTTCATACTGGCTATTAGCACGTGGGGTTGCCACCACATTCAAAACATGCCGAATAGCGTATGTGTTACAGAACAATTCAAACGTTCTCGACGTAAATGCAGTGCCTCGATCGTTAATTATGTATACTGGTACCCCAAAAAGATGCGCTAAATTCAACAATATTTTCACCACACGTTTCGACTTACTATTCCTCACTGGTTCAATCACAGTGAATTTCATAAACGCATCAGCCAACACCAGTAAATACTTACTCTTTCGAATGCTAAGCCCAAAGGGTCCCACGTGGTCAACATGCACTGTGTGAAAAGGTATCGGTGTCTTTCCTATTGGGTGCAACATCCCTTTGTTTATGACCTGGCACTCGTCATCAAAAATGAACATTTCTTTAGATTTAGTGTGAGATTGGGCTCGCGCAATTTATCCAGAACAAGTTGCACGCGCTGTACCCCTTCCTGGACAGTAGTTGACGGAATAGATATACCATCGATGTACGGAAACGCCACGGTATTTCTCAAAAGTCCTAATATGTTGTTAACGAGTCTTTGAAAGGTTGACAGCGCATTGGTAAGAGCAAAGAACATTCTCAAAAATTTATAATGCCCGCCAGGGGTAACAATCCGTTACGGAGTAACAAATGCTCTCTTCTCTACTGATTCTTCGCTCATTGGTATCTGATAATAATCTGATGCTAAATCCAATCTGGTTCTCAATCAAAAATAACGGATATCAATCCTTTATGGTTATCGCGTTCAACCGTCGATAATCTACACACACTTGATAGTTGCCTGTCTTCTTCTTTACCAGAATAATCGGAGTTGCATACGGCAATATCACTTTTGAGCAATTCCACAGTTATTCTTCGTGTGTTATATATCGTTATATTCGATGCACTATAACCTATATATATATAGGTAATTTGCATTTCGACTGAATCAGTTTTCCCCAATGTTTTCATCGACGTCGTAGTCCGATCTGTATAAGATTTCAATAGTTCCAAACACCGATCTTTGTTCTCAACTCCGACATCCCCGAAAACTACCTGATCAAAGTCTGGTGCCTCTTTGACTATAAATTTCTGTTCTGTCCGCTTGCGCATCTTCAATTCACCAATTGTGACACTATCTTGTCGCTTTATGAGCATTATATGTGCCTCATCCAGGAAATCGCGTCCAATTTACATCATAATTCATCGCATTGGAATCAACTTTGATTGCACATATCTTCTTGATATGACACTCTTATGATATGACTTATCTTGATATTGACCTCGGCGTACAAATCACTATTCGTGTCCGCTCCCGTAAACTCTCGCAGCGTTGTTTTTATCCTTAACGATCTGGACTTTTAATTTAATTACCACTGTTCGCTGAATTAACGTACTCCCGGTATCCACGAGACATGTGCCCATTTATCATAGCCGGTAAGAAATACACGTTGATTGAACTCACCCTTATTACATTGATTTATCTGACTTGGTCACAGAATTTGTCCATGTGTCCCTGTTTGTGGCACGTCCGACAAATAGCAGACTCCTTGACACATTTGCTCGAAAAATGTCCAATTTTACCGCAGTTAAAGCATGTGATCAAGAGTCGTTGCTGTCCTTCTTGGAACTTCTGCTGTACAGGTTTTGCCGTCGATGTTGAAGCTGCTTCGTATAACCACCTGATCCACGATGAGCCTGACGATTAGCTGTCGTCTTAGTACTCTCAACCCATGGCATTGCTCCCATCTCGTTCATTACGGCATACAACTCGTTGATATTCTCATATCGATTCGAGCGGGTCACCCTTTTGATATTTTCGTCCCCGACGCCGCCAGTAACCGCATCTTCCATGAATGCGTCCGGAATATAGATATATGGTATACAAAAACCAATCCTTTATTTAACACTTCCTCAGGAAGTTTATATAAAAGATATCTTAACTTATAAAGGAAGTTTACTCCTATGGAATCATGCTTCGGAGAAAGTATTGAATAGACATAAACACATCTCCATGCCGTATTCTAAATAAGCGATAACGGCTATGGGAGATGGACCTCTTGAGCATGAGGAATAGGGGCTGTTCCGTTCAGTGTGAATTCGACAGCTTAAGAGTGAACATATTAAACCTTATAACATTCTTTGCACTAAAGTTACTATACCTATTTCCCATTAAAACCAACACGGAATATCTATTTTCAGCGCCCGTAATTTCGACAGTTTTTCGAAACAATCTCCCAATTTCTGTCCAAGACTCGTTAAATACGTTGCCGCTTCTTTTAATAACCGTGCGAACGGTCGTTTAAATTGTTGCATGAGCGCCATCTTCATCGACTTCCACATCGGGTATCGGGTCCTTCATCTCCTCGTCGAACACACGACGTATCCTTTTAAACTTTTTGCAATCGGTATCAAAATGCGATCATCATTCCACAAGTATCGTCGCGCAAGTTGATCCACTTGACGCATCCATTGGTTCATAACCGCATGATCTCGCGACGGATCGAATCCTAGGCATTGTGAATTCGTGTCCAACGGACCTCGCCTGCGTGCTTCTCAATTCGTCGCTCGCAAATCTTCCTCCAATGAACTATCCGAGAAGCATTCCCGACGATTCGAATCTCTACGGAATTCGGTTCTTTCACGCGACCGTGATCGACTACTTAACCGTTGTCCTCGATCACCGACTGTCGCACGATCCCGCGAATAATCTCGACGCCGCTCACGCGACGACTCCGACGATCCGCACTTGAGCGTTCCTGTCCACACTCACGCGATCGATCGCGACCACGATCACTTTTTCGGGCGCCTTTCCAGTTATGCGAATCGTCTCGCGAACGGCCACACGATTTTGCCCGAATTCTCCCGCCAGATCGATCTTCCGATTGTTCACGTCCTGGCGTTCGACCCCGTACACATTCACGCGAGCGTCGATGTGATTTACCATTCTTCCAAACTATAATTCACAATTCACAACACGATATGCGTAAAAACGTCTAAGAAAATCGCATAAAAACGTCCAGGAAAATTGCGTTCGTTCACGAACAAATACGTGATGTATCCCACTTCTGAAAAGAACCTACGTTTCAGGAAACTACGTCTTAAAAATCAAACTTTATTAAAACGGTTCAGCGGAGACACAAAAATGACGATATGTGTCCTAGTCAGGAGTTGACTAAAAAATGCCTCTCCAACAGCCGTTCATCCTGTCGGAGACTGCGTCCTGTTCCATGACTTCATCAACCGAGAAGACCACTAGCATTCCGTTATCGGTTTTTAAACAAACAGTTCGGGCGAACCGAAAGCCTGAGCTTCTGATCTTCATCATCTCGCTATCCTATCATCCTAATTACGAGTTCACGTTCCATTCCCCTTACATGGAAGTACAGATTTTTATTCGTATGATATTTTATGCATAGAATTTATTCTGAATTTTTTCAGTTTTCAATCGAAAATATATATTTGATAATTATTTGTGTGTGGGGGAGGGTGAAACTTTGTGTACATGTTGCCGTTTATTTATTTCCTGATCATCTTGTGTCTGTCATTGATCCGCTCCTATAAGCCACAACACTCGGTAAATGCTTCTTTCTTCCACTGAGGTGTGTGCGTGTGTGTGCATGCGCGCGCGCGTGTGCGTGATCAGTGCACGGTCGGAATGTCGGCCAGTGAATCTAATTGTAAGATAAGGATATGCGCGCGCAACAAACCCGAAGGCAGTTCACGTGAAAGCAGTTGGCCGTTGCTAAAATTTGATACGCGTTCATCTAATAAGTAAATTACACGAACGCCTCGTGCATTTGTGATGCTAACAGTAGTAGTGTCAACAATTGAATTTCAGATGCCTTGATAGGTTTGCCAAATATGCAGAAACTTTTCTTCACAACGATGAAAAATTAGCCGAAAATCAGTTTTTTTTCTTTGTCAGCCAAAATTATTTGAAATATTATACAGTAAGGAAAATGGAGTTGGATGGACCAGTACGAATAATGTTGACTCGCGTTGGAACGATTCCGGTCGATGTTAAACCTTTCTGAGGCTACGCACCAGTCGCGTGCCGCAGTCAGTACTTATTATCGTTTACCGGCTTTCCTGATGCCGCTAAACAAGACGCGTCATCTACTCTACTACCATCCACTCTGTATCCCGCTCACCCTCTCACACTTCTCGTACCCACTACCACCACCACCACCACCTATATCTCCTGTCGCCTTTCTCTCTCTCTCTCTCTCTCTCTCTCTCCGCCTTTCTCTTTCTCCGATCAATAAAATAGCCCACCTCCCGCGAAAGCTTATCGTTCGTTTGAATTTCAGCAACTATCAGGTTCTTGATGATTCCTGATGTTTCGATCAAATAATTAAACAACAATTTATTGTATGTCTTTATGTATGTATTTATTACTAATTGTAGTATAGGTTTACCTTTACCGTTTCGTATATTGTCCTTACTTTTCTCATAATAAATATAATGTACAATTTTTATTCAGAATTTGTTAATTGTCTTTTTCACGTATTATATATTTTCTTCTCTTTTGTACAGATCAAGGAACTCGTTCTTGACAATTGTCGGAGTACGCATATAGATGGTCTGACAGATGAATTTGTTGCATTGGAGTCGTTAAGTCTCATTAATGTGGGTCTTACCAGTCTAAAAGGCTTCCCAAAATTATCAAGTCTTAAAAAGGTAATTGAGAATACTAATAAGTGTATATCAGTTTCTTGATTTCGATTAGAACGTGTAGAACTAATGTAAAGCGGTTCTTATCTGTTACAGTTGGAACTTAGTGACAACAGAATTTCTGGCGGTTTGAACCTCCTTCAGTCAAGCCAGAAATTAACTCATCTTAATCTTAGTGGGAACAAGATCAAAGATCTCGAGACACTTCAACCCTTAGTAAGTTCTGTTATTGTTAAAATAATAGAGATAATTGATTATAGACTTTATGAATTTATTAGAAGATTGAATGTACAGATTGAGAGTGTGAAGAATGCATGTGATTTATTAAAATGCTTGGGTATGAAATGTGCTTCTCGTGCGCATCACAGTGATCAAGGGATAACGCCATAAAAATAGATTTTTCTCTGGGTTGGAGACTGGCATTACACTACCCCTTGATCTCTCGATACGGGAACGGAATTTCTATTTGTCAGTAGATGGTATTTCATTTTCTGCGAATCGGCGAATTTAACAAACAAAATTAATTGTGGCTTGCAGAAGGAGTTTAAGAACTTAAAGAATCTGGATCTTTTTAACAATGAGGTGACAAATGTGGACAATTATAGGGAGAAAGTCTTCAGCCTTATTCCCAGTCTTCGATGTCTTGATGGGTATGTACACAAAAATTGAAGAAATATAAAGGCAAATGTTTCATTAATGTTCTTACGAAAACTAATCGTACATGTAATCACGTACGTGTGTCTGTATGTGTGTTGTACGATAGATTTGACACGGACGATTGTGAAGTCGACGACAGTGAAGGCGAAGATGACGAAGTAAATGGAAATGAAGATGGTGACGGTGATGCCAATGAAGAAGACAGCGAGGAAGGTTAGTAGATAGGAATTGTATTAAATCCGAATTATTTATTCGCATCTCGCTGTATAAAGGTGGACCGCTCGTTTCCAGGCATGCAATCTGCCTGCATTGAAATTGAATCGCTTTGTTTCTATGAAATTTTTATTTGAAACGTTAGTTTCAGACGAAGAAGACGATGAAGATTTCGACGATGGTGGTGTAGGTTTAGCAACTGTGTACAAGGTTGATTTAGAAGTAAGTATATCATTAATAGGATCATTATTTCCAATTTGATGGCTATCGTTTTTTTCCTGAGTTCTAACATACTCGTGTTCTCTACACACATGATGATAATGATGTTACAGGATGACAGTGACGAGGAGGATTTCCTCTGCGACGAAGAGGAGGAGGAGGAAGAGGAGGAGGAGGAGGAGGAAGACGAAAATGAAGATGACGAGCAAGAGGAAGAAGCAGGTAAATAAAAATCTTAATCCAACGTAGGTAACGTGACTTCTTTTAAACAACTGCCATAATTTGACGCTAAAATTTGTTTAAAAAATGGCATTCGAAAACAGAATATGAATCATTCCCTTAAGGTTGTTAAATACTGGCGACTATAACTGGCAAACGATTTTCGAATTCGAATTATTTAATCATAATTCCGATTCAAATCCTAGTATTTTTCGTAGTCAAAATCAAATCAGAGAAAATAGTTTACTTGGAAGTCGTACAATAACTTCACTTTACGCGGAGATTACATGTCGTCAGAAGATAAGAACCTTGATCGGAAATTGGATGAATCGGATTTTGATTAATGCTGACCACCAAGAGTAATCCAAATAATTTTGCATGACATATAGAATCGTCTCCCGCTCGAGGTAAGAAGAGAAAACATGAAGACGGAGATTCTGGGAACTAGAACCGCACTAAAAAGAGCTGGTTTCTTTCTTCATACTGTTGAATGAGTGTAAAATTCGTATATAAATAATAACAATAATTGAGACGCCGAGTGAACATCTGGGAATCAAACTAATTGACCGCGACCAATGACAGAGACTACAGTTAGTGGTGTGTGAATTTATCAGTAAATCTGATTGACTGACTGACTGAGGAATTGTCTGTGGAACAACAGGAACGATTGATTACCATTGCGAGAGGAGGGAGAAGAGCAACGTGAATGAGAAACGTGAAAAGAGGATAATGATGGCATAAAATAGGACTGCATTCCAGCTGGGCGCAGCGCGTTTTAGTTATACTAACGATATTTTATATAGAGTATATAGTTAGAGTATTTAGCGGTGTTGCATAGAGAGAGAGAGAGAGAGAGAGAGAGAGAGAGAGTGAGAGAGAGTGAGAGTGAGCGAGCGAGCGAGCAAGCGAGCGAAAGATTGGATATCGATGGGAAGTGGAAATAGAGAAAACAGAGGAGGGGTAACATAGTGTGTGGTGTGGTGGAGTTTTACACTTGAAAAGGAGCATATTTGTCTGTTAGCTCCAGTCGGCCAAAGGCTGGTCACGCTGGAATGCAGTCATCGTTAATCAGTACTAAGGTTACATAAGTTACATTTTAAATACATTATTATTGTACCATGATGATAAGTATAGAGTAAATAAGGAACAACTTTTGTACAGGTTTACACCATACATCGAGGTGCCGATTACGCCTCTGTGATTTTTGGGACAGAAAATAAAGAGAAATATATGTCGCTCATACATTGAGCTTATGTATATCTACGAAAGACGTATTAAGATAGGAATTCGTAATCGTAAGAAATGAGCAAGTGAAGAAGGTATGAACGTTTCGTTTATTACAGAGAGTAATAGTCTTTTCGAGATGTGCTGCTGCAGGCTGTTTCTCACAAACACGGCTGGTTAGATGACCAGCTAAATAGCTCTTAGAAAAAAATAAGTTACATAATTTCGAGAAGTGCGTACAGTGCTGTAACCATTTTCTCAATATCTGGTTTCATATGTTACTGGCAGTGACATGAAAATCACTTTTACTATCATTTTTTTTCTAGATGTAATTCGTAACTGTTATGTCAGAATTGGCCTCGGATTTGTGTGGAAAGTGAAAAATATGAAATTTTCCGTATGTAAAAGTTATATAAAAAGATAGTTTATTTCTTTCCATCTACGATGAATAATTTTCGAGTTGCTTGATGAAGCTAGAGTTTGACGACGAGAATCAGCCTGTATAAACGAGAGCAACAAGTTTTAGTTCGATTCAGTTTTTTTTTCTTTTCTTTTGTCTCTCTTTTTCTTTTTATTTTTTCTGGACAATGATTCGATGAACTTTGCCATTTCGCGAGGAGTCGTAGTTTCAAACGTTTTCCGAGCTCGTAACAGTAGAATGTTGAAAAGGTAATGTAACAATCAACACTGCTTCATGACTTCAAGTCATTTTTAAGTTTCAAAACGTGTATGTACAATGATGGCAATGGCAATACGCCAGACGTAACATGGCTGTTAAGGTAATGCTGTTATTTACTCTCGGGTATTACATGTGCTACGTGTGTGTTACGCTCTAATCTAATACGAATTCGTTTTATTAGACATCGATTATCGTAGTATCTTCCCGCCTGAAATTGCAGGTGTTCTCAGCTATCGTAATTAACTTAAACGTATTTTCATTTCAACATCATTATCGAATCATCACGGTTTTTTACGATGATAATAGAATTAATTACTTGTTGAATAGCACACATCGCTTGTACACAAATATAAAAATATTTGAAACATGATGCAGGAGATAAATCAAAATTGGTGTACCTTTAATTTCTGTCTCTGAAGTTACCATAAGCGCTGAAACATCTCGCGATGATTCAACCGTGAAATTAATGGGTAATCATCATCATTAATATTATTATTAATATTAAATTACGATTATGATTTAAATAAAGATGAAATGTAACAAATATTTACACTTGCGCTTTCGCACTTTTGAATTGTATTGTAAAATGAGGAAAGATGGAACGTGGAGACGGGAAAATTTAGATTAGAGTAGAGAAAATCTGGAGACACAGGCGCAAAAATAAAACGGATGGGTCAGAGACGATGTAGTAGTTAATGGTGGTGGTGAGACTGTGTATCGCTGGACGGACTAGCCAGTTAACTACGTGATCGTGGGATGGATGGGAGTGAGAATAGCGGCGAGTGAGAGTGTACGCGAGGATCGGTTTTATAAGAAAATGATACAAAAATAAATAAGAATAAAATTATGGTAAAGTCGAGGATCCTGGCGCCTTCTCCTGGTCGCCAGTTTGGTTATGGCCTTATCCAATTTTTCCAAGACTAAAGCAAATTTATATTAGGTACATGTACAGGTCCAAATCTGTAAATTTCCAATCTGCAATTTGTAATTGCGGTTCGCGCGGATGCTCGTAGTAGATTCGTGAAAGAAGGGAGAGAAGATTATGAAGAACAAGGCGACGAACAAGAAGAAAAAGTAGTTGAATGATGAATAATTAATTAAAATGAAATTAAGATTATAAATAATTGAGAATGTGTTCCGCGCGTCCCGCAACTCACACACATACACTTTTGTCAATTGCGATTTTGGATAGACCATTTACGTAAGGGAATCTATCGTCCTTCTCTATTATCAAATCTATTACATCTCTGTATTGTCTGTCTGTTCCGTTCCGTTAAAGTGGATTTTTATCATAACGTTTGTTTCGATTTCGAGCAATTCTCATCACAAAATAAGAAGAAATAATTTATTAATAAAATCATTTACAAATCAACGATGTTCTGTGATTTATACTTGAAATATCGACTATTCAATTCCTATGCATTACATTTACTACTACTACTACTACTACTACTACTACTACTACTACTACTACTACTACTACTACTACTATTACTACTACTACTACTACTGCTACATATCAATTCATTTTCTCAAGTATTTCAACTGTTCATCATAATTTACATCTTAAGTTTGCTAAGCACGCCACAAATGTATTAATTATAAGTTCTCACCCGTTTTTATAGTTGTAATTAATTAAACACTGTACTAGCTAATTGCATTATTGTGTTAAATATAATTAATTAATACTAGGTTGGTCCACATGAAATATCGTTTTCTTTGCGAACGTAACAAGGTAACAACGCCGCATGTATAACAGTAACAACAGCAGATGTTTCTCTATGGCCGGCAGACATCATATCGTATAAAAATTTAATTTTAAGTCATCAGTTTACATTATTTTCATTCATCATATTTTTAACTTTAGCGGTGCTGCCACTAAAGGTCGAGAAGCAATCGAGAAGAAGGATCTATTCATTTGCGCATGCGTCTAGTAAACGTGCACACGAGCGTAGTGTAGTAGCAGTGTTGGGCACATTGTGGAATTTTTGAGGCGTGCACACTACATATGACAACCGGTAGCCTAGTGACGTACTTATTTTTTCTAATTAAAGGTATCATTAGATTCCAAGTGTGCAAAAGCATTCTTGGAAATCATGACGCTTTTTTTTAAAATAATCTTGAAAATAAAATATGTTATCTGGCTGCATATTATTTGAAATCATTTGTTTAGTTTATTTGGACGTACAATTTTCTCTATTTGATTGATTATTTAGAAATAAGTTTGCATTCTGTTTCTTTAGTAAATGAAATATTTTTCAAAATCGAATTTCAAATACTTTCTAATTCTGCATACGAGGTCAAGAGTTGAGTATCATTAGATTCCAAGTGTGCAAAAGCATTCTTGGAAATCATGACGCTTTTTTTTAAAATAATCTTGAAAATAAAATATGTTATCTGGCTGCATATTATTTGAAATCATTTGTTTAGTTTATTTGGACGTACAATTTTCTCTATTTGATTGATTATTTAGAAATAAGTTTGCATTCTGTTTCTTTAGTAAATGAAATATTTTTCAAAATCGAATTTCAAATACTTTCTAATTCTGCATACGAGGTCAAGAGTTGCATAAATCGAATAGGTCAGGAGTGGCGTAAATCGAATGAGTTTATTATGAAAATAAGAAGTATTAATAACTCTTATTTTTTGTCATTAAATCAATTTATACGTGCGTCATACAGATTCCTGTTAGCGCTCAATTCGATCGAATGTTGAACAAATGCTTGAACATTATGCACGGGTATGCGGTCACGTGGCATCCCTAGCTGTTACGTCACTCGCGCATGCTTTTAAACGCCTAGTTACAAAAAATCTCACGATGTGCTCAACACTTGCGTAGTAGTGGCGTAGTTGGTACTTTCGCAGTTTCCTCGCGGTGTCGACTCGTCAGAGTGTTCACATTTCAACCGTGTTCAGTGTTTCTTTGCGCTTCGCTCGTGCGTCATCGTGCGTTTCGGTCGTGTGACTCGGTTCGTTGGGGACACGGAGAGAGGAAACCAGAGGCAAGGCCGGCTCGCGAGTTAAATTTCCAGTGTGCTACGCGGATTGACCATCATCACTGTACTTTCGAATATCGTGAAGAAAATGGCTGAAAGCAAGGGTGCGATGATCGCGAAGTCGGTGCAAAAACACGCAGGCAGAGCGAAGGAGAAGGTAAGTGGTGGTGGTTGCTGGCCACGGTTACTCGTACATGTCTGTCTTTGCTGTACGTAACAGGTTTCTTCGAGGATTTAATCACTCGATCGGTTTCGGTTTCGCATTCAGAGTGTAAACCTTAATTCTCTCTTCCGGTAATCTGTACTTGAATCAATCGACTCGATCTTCAAATATTTTAACGCGTCGTTTCTCATAAGCCTGCGAATAATTTGCACTAACAAGTATCACGGTTAGACATTTGTGTGTGTCTGTATGTGTACGTCCGTTCGTCTGTTCGAAACGAGTTTCTCTTCGAAGAGTATGTCAGTCGCTCGATCGGTTTCGAATGGACCCAACCTCGTTATTCTCGATCGGTACCTATATACTTGTTTCTTAATTACGTTAATGCGTCGATTCATTTTCATAACCCAGCATATGATTTGCTGCCACGAACCGATATACGTAACACGTTTGACATTTCACGGCTGAGGGACTACACGACGGCGTAGGCGCGCATCCTTGTTTTTATCTGATTCAATATTTAGCAAACAGTGCCGGCGGCGAGGGATGCGTTAAGTTTTTCAGAGGTGACTTATGCAACCGGCTGCAAAACATGTACCAGTCGCGTACTTCCATTTCGAAAATGACTGAATTATGCAACTCCTGGGCCTGGTTCAGCGTAGTAATGCATACATACGCTCGCGCGCGCACTGGTGCACCTTCAACGCCAGTCGCCGCACGCACTCCCAACTCCCGAGCCGGAGAGTGAGGTCGCGAGCGAAATAATTGTAAACCGGGTGGATGTAGACGATGTAGACTGTCACGTGAAACGAATACGTATTTCAATGTCTATATCGACAAGAAATGTTTGCGTTCTCAGATCCGCGAATCGCGAACTCCTTTGAATAAATTTAACCTGCGTAATTCTGTGTCGGTGGTAGTAGACTCGATGTATCGTGCAGTAATACGTATTAGCCATCGCTATTTCTGAAGGATTCATTTTCATTTCCATTTTTACAGCCACAAAAAAGAACTCGTTTTATTAATCATTACAGAAACACACAACGGAGCAATGTGAAACGATGGATGTAGGCTATGCGTCTTTTTAGTAAAACAATTTTCTTTTCACAAAACTTACACCTCTTAGAAGTAGTACACAGGGATCATTGATTTCTTGACTCTTTTATTTCATTTCTTCGCGTGAGTAAGTAAACATACCGTAAGATTGTATAATTCGTGCGTGTCTTAACTTTCTTTTACCACTACCGTAGTACGTTGGCTGTTGGTTAGAAGGACCATATCTGTACATATAGAACCGGTCTCTAAGCGTCGTTGGCCGCGTTCGAGAACCGATTCTCGTCGAAGCCAACACAACAACGACGGCGGGGGTAGCAGCTTCGAATCTCGGTGAGAATAAAGAAAATCAGTTCGATCGACAATCGTGAAGATTGGAACTGGGGATTTGCACAAGCTTTAAAGGTTCGCCAAGCCACTCGAGGCGAGGAAAGTCGATGTTTCTGTGTACCAGAATGCCAAAGAACATTAACAAGACGGGGCGCGGGGATCTTGCATTTTCTCATACCCCGCAGCTGTTGCGCGGTATCGTACCGGTTATACCGGGATTTACATCTCTCGTTTGTTCCGTTGACTGACCGAGAAGATGATGATTCCTCCGGTAATCCCGAAAGATGATTTTACATCAGATGTGTCTTAGGGATTCGGTAACAAACATCGTGGAAATTGTACGAAACCGTAGAGACGGAGAGATAGAAATTGGAATTAATGTAGCCTCCCTAGGCTACTACTACCAGCGTTTACATACTATTCTGGTCCCGGTGCTGTCCCGGACGCTTTTGCACCGCGACTCTCGGCAAATATATATCTACGAGCTTGCAGCTCTCGAGGATAGCTACCGTCTCTCCTGCCGCCGCCCCTCCCTTCTCCTCGAACGGGCTCGCGGGTTCCGTTATATCCGAATTTTAGTGAAACGCGAGCCACGTAAGTACGTGGAGTCTGATTTTCTGTACGAAAAATTAGAATTACGTGCAAGCTAAGTGTCGACACTGTCGACGACGGTACATACATGTCCTATATAAAATTTTCGTTTACTATCAAATATGCAACATTCGACGTGTTACAATTAAAATGCAAATTGTAAAAAATAGTTTCACTCTCAAGGGTCACTTAGAAGTTCGTCATGAAGTTAGACGTTGAACGTTTACTAGATTTAAAGTTATAAATGAAATTACCGTAACTTTCCCCCGGAGTTATTTTTGCTTTTGTTTAATTTCCTCAGTCCGTTCTTGGATGCATGCCAATTAAAATTGGCAGACGCCAGGGGAAAGAACCACCGCGGAGATTCAGAGTTAATTGACGCGATTTCAAACGGTTGAACGATCTATGTAATTCCTGTAGAATATCAAACATTCACAGACGAAATAATTAAGAATCAGTTTACTCGTTATTGAGTAAACGTGTCTGAATCGGCTCTGAATGGCTCCATGCGACCGAGCGTGTTTCACGATGGCGCATTCGTTAAGCGCATTCTATCTTGAAAAGCTCCTTCAGTTCAATTCAGTCCCCAGCTCCTCTTTTTCTACTCGGTTTTCTTTGGATCGTCCTCGTCTTATTCCATCCGCGTTTAGACGCTATGCCGCCGCTATGGCATTATTGCAGCTGGACGGCTGAGCAATTCGAACGTTTTCTTCTTACATCATTCACCGCGTGCACAGGCTATATGCGTTACGTCCTAACGTCGGACGAAAGCCTGGACGATGACGTTGAACCTTACGCAGTGATATTAATATCCTCTGCTCCGATCTATCTATGCCCCGCGTGGTCTTCTACAATTTCACATATGTGTAATGTACCACATTGCGTCGCAGCAGCTTCTAGGTAGATGATGTATTCGCGGACGGATAGGTGTGGATAAGCACATAATTATATTGACCTTCGTTGCGGTTGCCGTTGCCACCCGATTACGCCGGCTGGGCCACGTTGCGCGTCGTAATCACGACCATTTCGCTTCATCAGTATGCACTCATGACTATGAACTTCGCGTTAAGCTTTAAGTCGGACGTTACAAAGGATCGACAATCCGTTGATCTTTTAGCAAGTAGCAAATAGGGGGGATCGGTTTCGCGATTTTTCGCATGTGCTGGGAACGTAAATTCCCTTGATGACTCGTGGGAACTTGTGACCGCTACCTCATTATTACCGTGCTACGTAACGCGGCAAAATAATCGTAAAACATTAGCAGGCTGCGGCATAGGACACTTGTCCGTATAACGATAATGCACGCAATAAAGTCCAGTAACCATGTACAGGGTGTCTCAGAGCTAGTGTCAAGCCCGAAAATGGGGAGGAACTGAGGTGATTTTAAACAATATTTTCCTTTGTCAAAATATCCGAGGCATGGTTTTTGAGTTACTAACGAAAAACACCGACCAATCAGAGCGTTCGTACAGCGGGCGACCAATAGTGCGACAACTGTCTTGGACTCCCAGTAACCGTGTACAGGGTGTCCTCAGAAATAGTCTCAGGCCTGAAACTGGGAAGGAACTAAGGTGATTTTGAACAATATTTTCCTTCGTCAAAATGTTGTCCAAGGCGTGGTTGTTGAGTTATTAACGAAAAACCCCTACCAATCAGAGCGATCGTATAGCAGACGACCAAGAGTGCGACAAATGCCTTGGACTCCCAGTAACCATATATAGGGTGTCCGAGAAAAAGTGTTAAAGACGAAGACAGGTGATCCTGTAAGTGCTTCTGAACAAAAGTTTCTTTTGCGAAAATGCAAAGTGAGTCATGGTTTTCAAATTATTAACGAAAAACAATGACCAATGACAGTAGGCGTAGGATCTGCGCCCAGCCACGTGTATGTTAGCTCGGATCGTGACACTCGGCTGTGGATTAGCGCAGGTCCTACACGCTTTTTTATTAGTCAGTGTTTTTCGTTAATAATTCGAAAACCATGGCTCACTTTCCATTTTACCAAAGGAAATTGTTGTTCAGAAAAACCTCCAGAATCATCACTTTTCGTCTCTAATACTTTTTCTGGGACACCCTGTATGTACCTTCTTCGACTGCATTTCATAGATCGGATCATAAGTGGAACAGTGTACTTCGTAATAGATGTTACCCTTCGTTGTTACCTCGTCTTGATAAGACATACAAACAATGTATGGATCCGAGTATTCTTGCACAGCTCGAATCCCAAATAAGTCCATCCAGTATAGGATGATAGTGTCGTAAGGTCTCTCGGTGATTCCGTCGCGTCGTACCTAATACGGCGGAGGCCATCCAGTATCCTATCAATTAACATACGTGTCGGCGGATGTAGTAGACGCGGTTTTAATTATGCGCGCACTCGGATCATTTTTACCATTCGTCGCGATATCAAATTCACTGCCAACCTAACTACACACCAACACTGTTCTACTAAAAAATTGTTCATAAATCAATCTTTCAAACAAAATTGTAGGTAGACTCATTATTGAATCGAAGACTTGGATCATTTATAGAAGATGTGAGATAGGTATCAGAAGTATAATAGAAATCAGTTAAACGAGATTTTCTCATAAGCTACGTGCGAAGCCGGAGAGGATACTCCACGCGGCACCATCGTGACAACGTGCCTACACATACGCGCGCGCAACTTTTACTTCCACAACGAGAAGTATTATATGTACCATAATTTGTTTGAGTTGATGTTGACATTGTGTTTGTTGTTGTGTATAAAATTTGTGACGAATGACGAAGATAATTAAAATGAACACGTCCTTGTGTCGGAAAATGCGGATGCATTCATTGATAAACGTGATGTACAATAGCCGAATAGTATGTGTTTTAATAATCGATCGCAGATCAAAGAAACAGTCCGTCTTTTAAATTCCGCGGTCAGGGCTGTGTGTGCATCGTAGAGAATGCGGAAGTGGCTGACTGGATCCATTCGAACATTTATCGTAACCGCGCGCGTTCGGTACTTCACGGGGAGAGAATAAGCGAAGTTACAGGTT